GGCTGCAAGCACACATTGCTGGCTCATGTCCAGCTTTTCATCCACCAGTACCCCCAAGTCCTTTTCCGCAGAGCTGCTCTCAATCCCTTCATCCCCCAGCCTGTATCCATGTTTGGGATTGCCCCGACCCAGGTGCAGGACCTTGCACTTGGCCTTGTTGAACTTCATGAGGTCTCTGCTAAGGAAAAGGATGGGCACCAGCTTATCCCTCTCCCGTGTTCCAGTGTCTGCCAAGAGCCTAGGCCTCAGAGCACCTTTGTATATAACAAGTCTGGTTAGAAAGCTATTATTAAACCACTGCTGAGACAAAGTCAAGTTGGTTTATGGCATGCTATTGCATTATTACCTCTAACGAGCCCATTTGTCCTGCTTTCTCCCATGCAGCTTTTGCTCGATGCTGAAACTGTGCGACTGCCCAAATTGCCTGAGGGTACAAGGGGTGGATCCAGTATTTCTCAGGGGCTTTACGAAATCTGTGTGTGTCCGGATGGAAAGCTCTACTTGTCAGTGGCCGGCGTGGGCTCCACTTGCCAAGAATACAGCCGTGTCTGCCCGTGAGGCACCAGAAACGGCCACACACTCCCTTGCTAGTCTGAGTTTTATATTATTGCTAAAAGGCATTACTGAAAGCAGAATTTTCAGAATTTTAAAAACAAAGTATTTCAGTTTAGGAAACAAATCTGTAGCTACAATTCTGGGCTACAGAGTGAAAGGGGAAGAAGAGCACAAATGACATTTCAACTTCAGAAGAATAACTTGAATCAAATTTTATGTTCTGTCAATAACACTTTGAAAACAGCCTTACAGAGAGCATAAAAAAAATAAAAGGAATATGTTTCCTTGCTGAACTATTGTTCAGTCAGATGATTATGTCATTGTTAATATTTTTGAGCTCCGTGGTTTTTTTTCTCTCACAACATGTAAACACTTAATTGCATTAGTGGGTGAAATTAAATTGAGGGAACTACTTGAACTATTTGCTAAGACAAAGCATTATTTGGGGAATTCAGAAAGTGCCAGCAAATGGTCTATGCAATTTTGTTCTTGCAATAACACAAGATATGAAAAATGTGGTATTTGTATAAGTTCTGTGTAAAAGTTGTTAATTTGCTAATAGCTTTCTATTTTAATTTGGCAACATATATGCTGATTTGCTTATTACTGAGATTCATATAAAAATAACTAATACAAAAAGCTCCAAGAGTCATTTACACCTCCCTGTGTCTCAAATCTGTTCACTATACAACAGAGAAATATGTTAGTATATTTTCTAATAGCAATAGTTTGTTGTACTGCCTGTACCATTGTACTCATTTAAACCTTTTTATATTTTCGGACATGCTAATTCAACAAAGCAATTTGCTCTGCCAGCTGGACTAGTAAAAAGAAAAAATCTTTAATGTGGTTCCAGATTGTCTGACACAAGGAACTGTTTGGGCGGTGGGAAAAAAATCCTTTTTTGCAGCCCACAGAATTCAATTAAGAGGACTATTTCATTTCCATCTGCAGCTGTTGACTGATACTTCTGGTCCTGTCAGAGTGGGACTCCATCACAAACGGAGAGAGTAAAACTACTCTTTATTACTTTTACATTAGGACTTTGGATACAAAGTAAATGCTCACCAGAGTTGACAAACCATTTATTAACCTTGTAGAGAAACACCACTGCAGACCCATTCCCCTGTACAGTGTTGCACTGAACACAAATAAATCGTTTGCACACCTCTGGGTAGCAGGATTTGTATTTAATAGTCTGTTGTTTAAACCTTACGGGTTTTTAACTCCTTTGATGCTGTTTTGTATATATTTGATGATATTATTACCCAGGTAGGAGCTGCTATCACATAGTGCCTTGGTGTCTATTTACAGAAAGCTTTTAATCCATAATCATTATTAAACGACAGAATGTCCATCCTTTAGTGAAAAGAATCATCACCCTTAAAGCAGGAGAATCAGAACAAAAGAATGAGTAAGACTATGCCGTTTTTTTGAACTTGCTACTTCAGCTGTGGTGGACAAGCGAAGAAACCCCACACTCAGTTATGATCCCACATACCCACAAAAGACTGAGCTGAGAAAGAGCCCCCAGTTAACAGTGTCCGCTGTTATTGTGGTAAAGCCCTGGTTAGCCCCTGCTTCAAGGGCTGCCTTTGTAATTTATCCAACGAGTCTGATGTACAATACTGAAATTGCCCTTCATTAGCAGGGTGGAGCCCTCAGCAATTAATGCAAACTAGAAGAGCTTCAATAGGAAAAGCAGGAGACGTGCTTAAGCTGAGCTTCAGGCAAAGGAGGCAAGTGAATTAAGGTCTCCCATGTTATTTGGAGAGCGCTCCAATTGCTAACATACTGCCTAAGGGAGAAGTAGGAAGCCACACAGCTTCCATTTCTGAAATTCCCTTTTCCTGGGCTTAGACATCTACCTTCAGGAGTCCAAGGCTGTTGGCCCTAAAGAGAATATATATCTCTACTCTACAACTATATCTCTCAACTATATCTCTCAGTGTCTCTCAACTATATCTCTCTCTACAACTAAGCCCTCAGATGAGGCAGGCTTTAACAGAAACCCGTCTTCAGCATTCCTTTAAAGTCAGTTTAGGTGGTTCCAGCTCCATGTGCAAGGTTTGGAAACCAAATTATGAGCAGACTTAGCTTATTCATTGGATAGAAAGTATGACTATTAAAATAAAGGACAGCAAATTTCATTGCATGTGCCAGATAGATACCTAAAAACTGCTGCTACAAGTAACCTGGAGGGCTGTAATGTCTACAGTCTTTTATAGATGTAGTACAACAGCAAAACTGGGACTTCCAGTCCTTAGAGAATTCAGCCACTATCTAGTTTCAAAGGCATTTGAATTGTCATCATGCCTGTTTCCAACATCAAGGAACATATGCCCACTTCCATGTGGTACCAAACTACTCATTCACCTAATCTGATCCCTAAATGTAGACAGATACTGTAAATAAGTACACTAGTTACAATCTGCCTACTCTGCTGGCAATGGAAACATACCATTTTAAGTTACGCATTTTAAGCTTTTGTTTTGGAGGCACATTTTCAAATGTGATTTGCCAGTTAATGCAGAGCAAGAGATTGAATCCAGGCTTTCGACGTATCACAAGAGTAACCTAACCCCTAAACCACTGGCTATTTGGAAGCCGCTTCTGTTGCAGCTTCTTGCATTGAAGTTGCTCTGTTTTAGTTAACATTTTTACAAAGCTGTGGTACACAGCTAGCAAAACCAGGGTGCAGTTCCCTGGCTAATAACACTGCTAAGCATTATGGCACCTCAGTTAGACATTGCAATAACTACTGCCTTTCTTGGGCAGATAATCCTTTTGGACTTGCCTCAGTTCACAGGTGAATTCTGAGTAGTACAGAAAACTAAACAGGTCTGCTGCATCCCCAGCTCTGCCATCATCCAAATCACCAACTTGCCCCTCTTCAGTGTTTAAACTTCATTCTTCTTTTCATTATGCTACAAAATTGACATTGAAAACATAGTTGCATTATGTAAGTTGTGCAGGTCTTTTAAAGTATGGATGGCAACTTCTTGTCACTGAAGGAACACTTTGGGGATTTTTTCTTTTGGTTGTGGTTCGTGGAGAAATAAAGTTTATGCTAAAATTAACACAGCGTAATCAACTGATGCTATGATCTGAATTGTTGTTAATCTCAGTGTAGTTCATACATCACTAAATTATCATTTCTGATATCTCCCTGTGGATGTCTTTCCATCTCTCTTTAATACTTCAAAATTATTGTTTCTACTTGAATGAAACTTCAGTAAATAGTTACAGAATAACAGAAAATTATGGCACAGGAAAGTGAGAGTATGCACTTCTCCAGTTTATTTTCAAAAATGTTATCCAAATGGAGAAAAAAAAACCAACAACACTACCCAGCATAGTGAACTGTATTGTTTGCATATTTTTTTTTCCCTCAAAAAGAATTATTTAGAGCAGTTGTTGTAACTGGTTGGGATTGTTACATAGTGGAAAAGTAAAAATAGCAAAATGGTAGTAAAACTTTATTGGTGATTGTCCAAACACAACCCTCTTTGTTTCCATTTCACAGTCCTTTAGTATTGACATTTGTCTATCTTTATATAGCCTTACGCAAAAGGAAATTGCAAGAATGAACTGAAAACTGAGTTCTTGAATAAACTTTATACGTTTTTAAAAGTCTGCTTCTCCTTTGGTGTTCAAATGAAACACAGCTTAAATGAATGTTTTCATTTTTAAAATAAAATTATCTTCCCAAGACTCTAAGAATGTGAAATGTACATTATGTAAAAATATGAACGAAAATCTTGGCCCCAACTAAAAATGTACTTTCCAGAATTTAGAAAATGCTTTACAATTAGGTTTCACTGGACATCTAGAATTGTCTTCCTCTGTAGTAGATGAAAGTGCTACTGAATTAATCATCCAGAAAGCAAACCAAAGAAAGGTTAAAAAAGTTTTGATGATAAACTCATTGACAAACAAACCCCCTATGTGACAAAAATGTGTGTCTTCTTCAAATGAAAACATCTACTTTGACTGTCAAGTTTTATTATTTTTGAACTATTACTTCTGCCTGTGTTCCACAATACCAATCCAGCCATCCTCAAAGTGTTCAGATCCAGCAATAGGAAATCTCAAAGTTGGTACTACCCTCCTTTAATTGGAGCAATTACAATAGATTTTATTAAAGCCTCATTTAAAGCAATCCAAGTACCACGTGAATGCAATCCTTATATTAATAGTTCTTAAATTCTAGTTTTCAGATCACCATAGTAACTTTATTTTGATAATGACTTGAGTACAAATATTGCAAAACTGCATTTCTTTATACAACAAACCATTGCTTTTTCTTTTGGTAGTTGGCTACACAAAAATCTATTTCCTTAAAAAAAAAAAAAAAAAAGGTCTTTTTCTTGTCACTAATTGCTGAGGCAAGCAACCAGTGCTTTTTAGAATAGGTGCCAACGCCATTGTTTGAGGGGAAAACTTTCAAAGCTTCCACAAGAAGATAAATAGTAACAAACCTGCCAAGGCTTGTTACAACCGCAGCTCCTTAGATTTAGGCTACTAAATGCACAGTTAAATCAGTGTCCTGTACCACTGATCTTCGCTAAACCTCACAACTATAATACTGGGAGACAGGACTACTGAAGCTGCTTTTCCTAGACACATTACTGGTACCTGTGAAGATAACTAGGACATATACCTGGCTGAAAAGACCTTTTCTCTCATGTGAACTTGTGTAATGTGTAGAATTACTTGTAAAACGTGTTTTTGTGGAACCTACATGCTAACATTTACTTCTACTGACTCTTACTAAGGAATCGTCACATACTAACTGTTCTGAGCTTCCACGCCCAACTTAGGAGCAAATATGTTATTCTGCATTTCCCAAGGCTCACAGCTGAGCCAAAAAGCAGCATGAATTAAGCATTTTATTTATTTGTTTAAAAACATGGATTAATGGCACTTATGAAATCAGTTTCTATCACAATATGGTTTCCTGGTCTCATAAGGCCACTTTATTTAGGCCACCTGTTACAGTGAGTTAAGCAAATAAAGAAAATAAGAGACTTCAAATTGAGACACCACTCTTGCCTGTCTCTCTGCATCCATATGTAAATTTTATTGCAACTGATTGATAGTATCAACCCAGGAATAATAGAATAAGTTAATTTTTCTGTGTCATCCAGGTTTTCTTGCTGACCTTGGTTCAATATTTAAAATCACTTCAGACCATTAGCTTCCTAAGATCTGGGACCATTTTCTTTCTCACAGTGTCAGCACTCAACAATATATACAAAATTAAAATATAACAGAATAGTTTAGTAGTTCTGTGCAGCCATTTTAAAAGTTCATAAAAATATTGGGAAGGCAACATAAGTTGCTTACAAAACACAGTTATGTGCTTAAAAGATTTCCTGCCTCAAGATCTCACCTAAAAACGGGAAAGTGTTCATGTTGCTCCTGTTACTCATTTTCATCCTACCGTATGTTTTAGCTCCATTTAAACTGAAAAACACAATGAGAACTGTTTCCTTTTGTTAGTATTTTGCTAACCCTGAATACTATTCATCTGACTTAATGCACAAAGTAAGTAAGAGCCACAAAGGAATCTGTTTTAAAAACATAGGGAATTAACTAAACTGATTTGTTTCATGGCACACCAGGATTTGTGGTTTACTTACATGCTATTTATTGAAAAAAAAATCAGCAAAATGTACAATTTCTTTCAGAAAACTGCAAACATTTGTCATTGCAAGAAAAAAGCATTTTTCCTTTTTAATAATATTAAAATATTTGTACAATTATTTAGAATGAATTGAAAGGAGTGTGTATTTACCTATATAAAAGAAAGCTTGAAATAATAGGTAAATTTAGTGTACTTTATAAAACCAAAACACATCAGACTGAAATATATGTTTGCATTTTTCTTTATTAAAATTATGGCACTTAATATTTAATAGCAGAAATAATAATAGGGCTTCACAATCAGAAGCAGTATCATTTTCCAAACATCACATTTCTTCCCACTACAACTTGCAAGATTTTTCAGAAGAGAACAAGCCCTTTATCATTTTCACAAAATTGAAGAAGCCTTCATCGTGATTTTTTATTTTTGGATTACAACACTATCGCAGCTGTATCAGCCCTTCAAGCTCACTGTTGTTTATTTTCCTTTGTATTCTGTAAGTTAAATTACAGTTTCACTGTGCTGTCAAGTAAACAATTGTAAGAGCATGCCACTGGAAAAAGTTTAACATTTATGTTAAATGTGGCTGACCCAGCAAAGAAAAATCCTTCCATTTAGCATTATCCTTCCATATTTTTATTTATTTTTTTTTTTTTTTTACAAATAGCTGAAGTTGAACATATTGCATGACATTACCAAAAGTATTACAAACTATAAAAGAAAGAGTGTGAACTAAAAATCAGACTTCTCTAGGGCTGTAGTGAACAACAAAATAAAAAGAGCATTACATTGCAGCACCTTTAAACATGTAACAAAAAACAGTGCTCAGTGTACACCAAAAATGGGTTACTGAATTGTACTATTATCAATGTTTGTGGAAAAATATATATATATATGTACACACACAAAGGCACGCACACAGGAAAAAAAAAAAACTCAAGCATTTAGACATCTGAAAACTGGGCTTTGGTGTTCAAAAAAAAATCATAAAACACCATATAATAATGTTCACCAATTTTATACCATCCACATGCATTTTTCATTAAACAAAAGATGACAGGCTCTAGAAAAAAAGTAAATTAAATACTTAATTATCTCATAATAAGGTAAATGCAATCAATGCATGACATGAAGTTTCATGTTAAATCAAGTATCATTATTCAGCATTAAAATAACTACCAGTTCACAGGTACTAAAATCCTTTAAAAACGTTCACAATGTGATGCTGCAGCAAATTTATAATCAGATCCAGCTGATGAGAGTATTACTATGAGTGACACTAATGTCCATAGAACACAAAAGAATACAGAAATGCTTTGGAGCAATACCTCCAAAGTTATTTCAATTTCCATCCCACCTCCCATTTCATAGTATGTCCAGTCTTAAGATTAGTACACTGAAAACTGACATTACCGTTTCGGAAATATTATATTAAATGAAACAAAATCTAATAAGGAGTTATAATTACAGGCTTCATCTAACAGAAAGCTAAGCTTTGGTTATATAAAGTGCAGTTCAATAATATGCCAATTAATCACAATATTGTACATACAGCTAATTTTTGCAGCTCAGTTTCCTTGCAGATTTTAAAAAATATTCATGTTTTACAGTTTGCTTATACAGCAGGCTCAGTTAAAAAAAAATCCTGTTTAAATAAATGTCAATTCTACGTACTTCAGTACCATCCACCTTTGTGCACTACACTTCTGAACTGCTTGGTAATGTGTAACCTCTTGGATGTTCAGTAATCTGCACAATCGCATTTGTATCCCATCACATGAAAATACCTAAGCTCTTGACAAAACAGTTCCCTCACCTCTCCGAATCTCTTATACTTTTTGTTGTATAAAGTTTTCAAGTTTTATTATGATACAAGCAGTACATTCCATCACTCTCATAGCAACTTCTGAAGTAAACCTATCATTGGGAATCTGTGGAAAAGGAAGTAAGTCAGGATACCTAGTTTTTAAGCTATCTACCCCATAAGCTTCCAACGTCTGAACATCATTTGTAAGCCCTTCAAGTTGCTGACTATATTCCTCTATTTTTTGTGCAAGGGCTGCTGGTTTTACGTCTTTGTCTGATTTGCCCTTCACAGCATAGTCAGCTGCAATCAAGGCTAGTTTAGTAGAAAGGTAGCACTTAAAGCATACCCATTCATTGGCATTTTTATGAAGGTCATTTCTTGCAGCTGAAAAGTTAGCTCGGGCCTGCCTAAGCCATCGACGTGCCTCTACAGGATTGCCAACAGACCTGAATGTAGGTGGGACAAAAAAGCGTTGCGAGTAAGATGGCCCCGTGGAAGATGGACACTTTTCTTTATACTGTTGCCTTTCAGATTTGTGGCTTGTTGCTTCTTGATTCCATGAAGTGTAAAATCTCTGAAATGAAAATTTATCGGACTGAAATCGAGAAGCAGAGGATGAAAATGGTCTTCTTGAGGCTCTGTCCATATTTTGATCCATAAAGGCCTGTTTTTCTAGCCTGTTAATCTCATTCTGTAAATGTTTGAAAACTTCATTAGCTATATCAAGATTCTCTGCATTTTTGTCTGGATGCCATTTAAGATACAGCCTCCTAATAATCTTTTTTCTTTCAGATTCTGGAAGCTTCCAAGCCTGTTCAATCACAGATGTCACTTCTCTTAATATTTCTGGCAACAAGTTTGACTTTATCTTTTTTGGAGAGTGATGTTTTGAGGACATTGTTTTGTGGCTCTCTCTACCAGTGAAAAGAGGTGGAATTGTCCTCGGTCCGTGTGCTGGAAATTCTGTAGGACTGGTTGGGGTAGAAGGTGTGCTATCCCTGCTTTGAGAACTTTCCTCCGGTCTTGAAAATTTGTACAAGTCAAGAGAGCTCACTATTTTATATTCACTATATCCAATATCAATCTGGTAAATCTTCCCTAGAAAGCTGGGACTTTCATCATCTTCTCTTTCTACTTCTTGTACAATGATTGCGTAAGTATAAGTTGGTTGATACGATCCATATATATCACCACCTTCAGCATCAACAAGATAACCAACATATTCACCAGGATAGAATACATTCATCGGATCCATAAGAAGTGTATAGTGAATTTCAGCTGGTATAGGAGTGCCAGGTGTTGGTAGTTCAAGTTTTGATGGCTCAGAAGAGTCATACTTCACTCCTAAACTATCAAGCTTCTCACTGATCCGATAAATATCATTACAACCCAGCATGGCAATTAAATACGAGGTATCAGAAATCAGGTTGTCAGTTGCAGATTTTAAGGTCATTGCTAATGCTAACAGGAAATTTATGTCTTTGCTGTCAGAATGCTGTATGTAAAGCAGTATTACTGCATTTCCATACCTCTTCAGGAAAGCAAATGTTTCACTTTTGCTGTGGGGAATAGGAGCAAAACCTTTAACTCTTAATGTCGTTTGCAACTTCTCAAAACAGGAAACTTTCAAACCTTCTCGCAAAGCTTTGCAAAGTCTTACTGCTTTTTCTTCATTAGCTAAAAAAGCATTGTCATTTTCATGCTTCATAATCCTAATGAGTCCTGTGATGAATTGTTCTGAAGACAACAGTAACTGTAACCTTCCCTGCAAAGAACATAATGCTCCAAACTGACAAATTTTGGGAGACTCTTCATCCAACTGTTCTTCAAGAATACTGCTAAGTAAACGAGGCCTCAGTTTCTGAGGGAATAACATTATCAATTTAGTATGAAAACCATGGTCTTTGCCTAAGTAACACTGGCTAAGATCAACAAGCATTTGCACACCAATGTTACCTTGGATTCTGCTTTTGTAGTGCGGTGCATCATCAAAAACTAAGATACTAGACTTTACCAACCTCCCATCTTGACTGGGAAGGTAAAGGGCAAAATCCCTCATATTCTCAAGATCATTCCTAACTTTGACAGAATCATTCTGAAGACTTTTGAACAGGCCAGAAACTACTCTTTTAACTGTGCGCATTTCATTAGGATCCAATTGCTTTCCTTCCGAGTTCTTGAATATGCGACCTAGAACTTCAACATACTGCTTTGTTGAAATAATATCTTCAGTACCCAAATGTTTAAATAACTGATGGAAAGTACCAAGTTCTAAAGGAAGTTTGTAAAGATAAGGTTTAAAATCAGATTCATACTCAAGATTTATTACCACCTCTTCAGGCTTAAGGAGCTTCCAACCTTCTTCCACCATTACAAAAGAAACTCCTCGAAGCTGAAAGCGGAATTCCCTTTTCTCTGTACTAAGAAATTCATAAATGCTTCTTAGGACCTTGGCCCTAGTTTTCACCATGTCCTCATCTAAAGTTGTTATATTGCATATGTTCCTGCAGTTATTGATAACTTTGTCCAGGGGAGGGTCCAAATTAACGTTCAGCATCATTAAAACTTGCTCAAGTTGTTCTTGCACACCAAGACTACTTCCCTCTTGCTCTTTGATGCTTAAAGGTGTTGCTTTCTCAGGAAGAATGGGACATGAAGTCCACAGCAACTGCAACACATCAGTCTGTTTGAATTTAGGATTCACCTGTGCCCCATTGAATCGTATAAGAGGAAGCGTCCCATTAACTTCTTGATACTGAGGATGAAATCTAACAAATTCTGCTGGAGCTCGTTCAGGGCACAGAAAAGGAATTAATGACAATTCTTTCAGAAAATTTCCTGAGAAAAGGTCAGTTCTTTCTTGAAATATGTGATGAAGGAGGACATCGACAGTGTTCTGTAGTGTTTCTTTAGACCAGTTTTCTGTATTCGCTCGCATGCTGATCTCCTTAGCAAACTGTAATAACTGTTGCTGTGAAATGATGAATTTCAATCCAATATGTCGTAGAAAAGTTACCCATGATGGAAGGAATGCAGCTTGGTTTTTTGGTTTTGTAAGTTGCTCTAGTTTCTTAAAAAAATCTTGAGGTATAAAGAATTTTTCAGGAAGCATAACTTCAAACACTCTGACAGTCCTGTCATAAAAATACTTTGCAGGTTTTAATCTATTGCTTGCATCATGAATGATCAAAATGCTTTCAAGCTTTTCAAACAGCTGTTCTTTCATTTCTGAAGTTTCTTCAATGCTAGTTAGCCTATTCTTTAAGTAGATCAAGTGGTCTAATTTTGCATCATAAGACAGACTTTCAATTTTTGGCAAAAGATGTTTCAAGTACACTTCAAGATCATCCACAGAGACACAGCCAAGCACAGTATACAAATCTTTCAAATGAACCTTCTCTTCAAGAAAAGCTGATGAAGTCGACTGTGTCCACCTGTCTACTTCTACTGATGGGATGCTTTTCGTGAGGACATAACAAGTCCCATATTTTGAAATGCTGATGTATCGGCCACTAATCGATTTATAACATGGAAGAGACTTTAAAATTTTAATGTCATCTTGAGATGTCAAATTACATAAATTGCAATTAAAGTACATTAAGAGAGCCTCAAAGTCACTTTCTGCTAACTTTTCAGTCCTAAAAGTTGATGTCTGTACCATATATTGTATGGCTTTCAGAATGCTTGAAGGATTATCTATATTTGCTGTACATCCTGACAACAAAGGCAATAAAGCACTGTCTTTGGAGCAAATTTTGTTCAATGCCAGCTGAATACAGCCTGTTTTCATTAAAGCATGAAAGACTTTATCACTCTGAGTATTTGGAAAAACAGCTATATGCATAATGCTGAGGGGCAGCAAAACATCACACTCTGGCACAACAAGATGATTAGCTGAGACAGTAAACCTTACACCTGGGAGCAAAGTCCAGTCCTTCAAAGTTTCAACAACATCATTGAATTTTGCTTGCGTATCTTCTTGCTCTTCCTTAATATTTATAGACTCACTAATAAAATGCCAGGCATTTTTAAGCCAAGATTCACTTGCAAAGTTTTCCTTCCATTTCATACAATTTCTAGTTTTATATTCTCTAGGCAACACAGATGATAACAATTCAGCAAAACTTGTAATATCAAAGACTTTCGCTACTTCACTGCTAAGTAAAATATTGTTGTATCTCAAATACAATGTGTTCATAAAGAGATCCTTGCGAGATGGAATCAGTTCATGGTATGTTGTTAAGAACTTCGGTCGCTTTGAATCAAAAATTTGCAAAACATTGTCAAGAGTAATAAGGAGTGGCAAGCCCTCAATTTGGATTTCATTTTCTTCTGCATCTTTAAAACAATAGTCAACGAGAAGTTTGAGACTATGGAAGAGTTTCAAATTTGTCTGCTGAAGACGGCAAGGTAACTTTCCAATGTGGCAATTAGAGTCTGGAAAAGAAAACGTCATCAAAAATAATCGGACATCAGCAGGTGTCACGTAGGTGACAGGAATATCTGCATCTACCAAACAGTGGTAAAGATTTGCAGTTTCATCACAGTTATATACCAAATTAAATCCAATTTCTAAGAGTAAATGCTTGAGTCTGTAAACATTTTCAGCCACTGTCTTCCGCGTTGTGATATTGTATTCTGTATTCTTAAGATGTTGCAGTTCATCTTGTAGTAAATTGTCAAAGAATGGCCTGCCTTTGTTCACAGTAGACATGTTAACCCATGTGATGATAACAGCAGAATGCAAATCAGAACCATCGATATTTGGAGCTCGCATAACAGGTAAAAGACGCTTCAAATCTTCATAAATGCAACTGTAAACTGCTTTCACTAAACAATACCAATCTGGCTGAATATCAAGTCTATTAACTGGAAAAAAGGATAAAAATTTTTTTAAAGTGTCTTTCACAACATGAATGGGTGTGTTTTGCAGCACTGATACTGTAGGATCAGTGCCTGGAAAATACCGTTTCTTCAGCTGAATCAGCAGTTCAACATAAGCTGGTGCTATCAGCGCTGTCATCAGACTGCTATTCCAGTCACTTCTTACTCCAACACCATTATCATCACGCCATAGATTTCTTCTTGCAGAATCCAGAGCAAAGTGTCCATTCACATGAAAAGGTAACCCAGTTTCTAAAGATAACGGTAAGAAACAGAATGCTCTGTGGGGTTTTTTGTAATTATGAGTAATGCAAGCTGCTACCCCGCCACGTGGAAAAAGAGTAATGTCCTCATTCTTGTGGGCTGAAACCACACTTTTGGATACCTTTTCCATAGCAGAGAAGCCTGACCTGTTACAAATTAACCAAGTTGTAAGATTTCCTTCTGAGTCTTCAGTATCCATTGTGTAAGTAATCTGTTGCACAGGTATTTCACTTAGCTGCTTTTTTTTAGTTACACTGTCAATTACAGATGCATGGAATTGCTTTCGTTTCAGTCTGTCTCCGTCAGTGATTTTGCCTTGTACAGAATACAACACATTCAGTGCTCCTGTTGTTTTTTCTATCTCACAAATAGAAATTTTTTCCATATGGTTCAAAAACATTAAGAGTTCTGCTCCATCTGTACGCAGCTTATCTAAAAGATTTTGGACCATTCTATCCGAGCACGGAACTGAGGAAATTTCTGATACTTTTGCCATTTCTCCATTTCGAAGAGGAAACCTAAACATTGTGCAATTATCCAGTTTAAAGTGATTTCCTAAGAAGAGATCCAGTACATCTGAGAACTGTGTTCTGAAATCTGCATCTAAATCTCTAAACATGCGGCCAGGACTCGTTGATGTTGAACCTGGTGCATATCTAGCATGAGGATCAAAAATACAAAGTATATCATTGCCAGATATGAAAGAAGGGCAATCAGTAATGTGATAAACAGAATTGAAACCTATACCATATTGTCCAGTTTTACAGGGATTTCCTACTTTTGTACCTTTTCCAAGGTTCTGGATTCCTCGAATATCATCTTCTGTAAAAGGCTGATTGTTGTAAACACACAGTGCTGGTCCTTGAAGTGGTGCCCATTTCTCATCAAATATTCTATCGGCTGGATGCTGTCTAGGATCAAACACAAAACAGATCTCTGTAGCTTTTGCATCATCTGCATTCTGAAGGAGCTCTTTCAGCATTTCTTTTTCTGAAGGGTAGGCATTAAGAATGCTTTTAATTCTACTTGTCAATTTTTCTTTCTGGCCAAATTCTGTTCCAAGGGTAGTAAAACAGATATTGGATGCATATCTTTCCAAAGCTTTATGGCGTTTTGGTATTGCTCCAAGCTTTACTGCAACTTCTCTTGGAATATCACCATGACAATATTTAACAGTTGTGTCTTTAACTTTAATCCATGGACAGTCATTGTAACACAAAGATTTTGCAGGCAGAAGTGCAAGACGAGTATCGGGTAACAAAATCTCGCCATACTTTTTCTCACAAAATTCCTGCTTCTTCTCTCTAATGAGGCCCCATATTCCTTCACTAATTATTCGCCTGCAAAGCTGAAAGTTGTCTTCTGTTAGTTGTTTGGTCCCTCTTTCCTGATTTATTAATTCCAGAACTACAGCAAAATCTTCAACTGTAAAAGCCTGTCTTACACCCACACTTTCAAATAGCTCACGGAAACTATTTTTATATTTATTAGGCAACTGATAGAGATAGGGTGCTGCTTCAAAATTCAAATGAAAAGACACTTTTGTTGGATCAACATACATGTTCTCAACCAGAATAAAACTACAGTTTTTCAGTTCTTCAATTATTATAGCTTTTGTTGATTCGTTCTGTAACATTGCTTCATGTAGATATTTGTAACAAGCATTAGTGATATTTTCTTGATATAACGTGATTCCATCAAATGACTTTGCAACTTCTTCTAACTGATTTATGACCAAATTAACAGCTGGTTTCTTCAGTAAACCCAAAAATTCTTTGACAGCTAATGACAAGGCACCACAACCTTTAAAGGAGTGGGAATTTTCATTAAGAATTGGTTGTATTAGGCAAACTATATCTTGATGATCAGGAGTGAAAAGATCAGTTGCTGAAAACATTGCTTCAGGCTGAAAATCACTGCCTTTCCAGTGCAGTGAGAAGCCTGCTGGTTTGCTAAGGAAAGGAAGGAAAGGGATGGTTTGACATTTTGCAGCAAATTCTTTAGCTCTAGGGTCCCTAGATTTTAGTTTTTCATCAATAAGACTCAATATAATACTGCTTCTGAGACAAGCTGCAGCATGATCAATCTTGTTAATTTCAGCTACTGACTCTGCACGTTCTATCAGATCTTCCCATAAAATATCGTCTTTAGCCATTCCCAACTGAACAAGTTTAACCAAAATAACTGGGTTAAGATAATCCTGAGTGGTGCCATAAGGAAATCTTCCATCTTCAGCATCATATAACTTTGCAACTCTTCCTTCAGGATGGATCAGTCTTGATGGTGTAACTAATGGATGTCCATCCAATGAACAGGGAATACATGGAGCAACACGAAGAATTCCTGAGAACTCCTCAACTTTTTCATTGAGAACATAACGCATCAAAGGATCACGCAGCTCTGCATCAATCTCCTGAACATTAGGGAAAAATACCTCAGAAAAGAACTGTTTCTCAGAGAAAGTGTTCTCCAATAATATGTATTTGCATCCTGCTTCTTCAAATCCTGTCTTTACCCAGGAGGGGAGATCTACAGCACACAGATTTTTGGAACCAGTTTTTTTAAGGTACTTCAGAAAGATCTTAAAGGCTGACGGTCCAACATCTGGTCGTTTCAGTATAGAGTCATCTAAAAACCTTACATTCTTCATGGAAACCCAAGAGAAACCATCAGAAAACACTTTGATCCCTTCTTTGCTTTTCATATGAGCTATGTCTTCATAAAACCCTTGACAAATAACAGAAAAATCATCATGAACTGAATCAGGATCTGGCCACACTGCACAGTAACTGTAGTCAACTAGCTCACCATTGATTGCCATATCACGTAGAACACAAAGTGCTTCTATGTAGGCTTTTACAATAACGTGCCTCATGAATACTGTATTCCATCTCCCTTTCGTGTCCGTTTTCCAGATCTCTTTCCGATTTGAAGTAACTGCAAAGCAGCCATTTATATGAAGAGGTAAGCCTGTTTTTATTCGTAGAGGTAAATAGCAGAATACTTCACCTATGTTGTTGCAGTTAGGTTTCACAATCCACTTTTGATCCTGGGTTTCAGACAGCAACACTCCTACTCCACCACAGGGAACAAGACCTAGTCTTCGTCCACTTTCATGTAATGAAAATTTCAGAGCATCTCCAGTGTCCATGCAAGAACATAGAAGCCATGTTGTTGAATCTACTGTTTTCTGTGGCAATTCATCAGCTGATCTTTTTATCTGTCCTGATTTAGCCATTTCAAAGAAAGAAGCTGGATCGTCTTCCGTACCTCTGAAAAGTGGAGACTGTAAATCAGCAATCCGCCTAAATACATGGTGAAATTCTTCTACTACTATCTGTAAGATACATGAGGACTTCGGTGTTTCAGTGGGAAGCTTTTTATTACTGCTGCTGCAGACCTTCATGAGTTTAGCTGCCTCCTTTAACACACTTACATTTGGTGCAGTCAAGGCTTTGGAAGAACACAGATTTTTTTTGATAGTGACAACATCTTGTGCCACCCCAGGATCATCTGCCTCAATTTTCAAGTATTTCAAAACCATTGAATTTACACTCTGAGCAAATATTATCAGTCTATGACCACAAATGCTAAATTCATCCACAAGAGAGTAAATGTCTGCTGTATTGTAACATGCACTGCTGACTTCACTCACTTTAGCTTCCTGCTGAGTTCTAAAGGACAGCCTGAAAAGCGTTCCTTTGTAACTGTAAGGAGATTCTACAGTTAGTGGTAGCTGGCAACCAAAAACTCCTATAAATGGCTTAAACTGATTGGGAAATTTTCGCAGCCTCTTCTGTTGTTTACTCCAGTTGATTTTGATCCCAGGGTTAGATTTATCTCTAATATGCTTACTGATATGGTTAACATTTGGATCAAACATAATCATGAACTCGCGGCTCAAAATAATAGGAACATCAGTGATATGATAAACAGAATTGAATCCCAGTCCAAATTTTCCCACTTTGTCAACTTCACTCCTTTTCAAAGACTCTCCTAAGCGAGTTATATTTAGGAAATCAGAGTCAGAAAATTCAGAATTATTGAATGACCACAAAGCTGGACCATGACATGCTGCCATTCCTGGATCCAGAAGATTCTCTCTTATATCCATATTTCTTCTCATGTCAATCAGGAAATTACATTCCGTTGCATTAGCATCATCAGCATTTTGAAGAAGCTCTTTAAAGATATCTGAAATGGAAGGGTATTCTTCCAAAATGTTTTTAATTCTTACAGTCAGAGGCTCTCTTTGCCCAGATTGCTCAAATCCCATATTTTCTGGATTAATCAATCTTGTGCTAAGGCATGGGACATTTAACCACTCAGCAGTTTTCATTGGTATGTCTTCATGCACCAAAATTATTGGTTCAACAGAATCTTCAAGCAAATCATTTAAGTCATCAACTTTGATATCACAATAACAGCACTCATGAATTGGCCTCATTGCAAGTTTATAAGGAAGTTTGCCACTGTATAGTGGCATGGGTGTATGCAGACTTGCAGGAATCTGATTGCTGTACAGCCATCTTATGATGCTCAACATAATGTGAAGATTTTGTTTACTCTCTTGTTCTGAGAGAGACTGCTCACTTTTTAGATATATTTTCTGAATGACCATAGAAACATGGTCTGGTGTTAACTGCTCAATTGAACCACAACATTTAAACAACTGGTGAAACTTCGCCATAGTTTTTGGCACATAATGTAGATAAGGCTGAAGATCAAGATCAGGTACTGACTTTATTACTGCTTGTGTGAGGGAACAAAATGTTTTACCTGTCCAAACCCAGGGAAATTTCAGGGCTTTAAAAGCTTCTTTGCCTTCTTCTAGATGATCATGCATAAATCCATAGATCTCAAGCAAGATATGCTGAAATTGATAATAGTCCTCATCACTGAAGGTTTTAGAACTGTGCCAATCGACCACCACCTTGAAATGCTTTAAGACTGCTTTTATGCTGGGCTTGGTGGGGATGCCAAGTGCTTTTTCTATATCCAACAGCACATTTTCCACAAGAGGAACTGAAGAACCAACTAAAATTGCATGAGATATATCACACATTTCTGGTGGAGAACACAGATTACAATGATCTCCTTTCCAAACTAAGGATCCTGGATAATTTGGAGGTCTTTCCTTACATGCAGGAATCCATTTTATTTTTTTCAGCGCAGCTTTTGTTTCAGATGAGTGAAGCAGTGTATGGTTTTTGTTCAAAATCATCAAGAGAGTTCTAGCTTTTTTTAACAGTAAATCATGATTGGTATTAGAGTTAACATGCAAACTTTCAACTTTATTTGCCACTCTCATAATATCACTTTCCTCAAGATTGGCCTCATTTTTTAAGCCTATTTGTCTCAGAGAATGAAGAATATCTGAAGAGGTAAAAATAACAGGGGGGAAGCAAATTTCCTCCTCAGCATAAAACAAATTTTGCAGAAGTTCTACCTCAGGATCAAAGAGTTCATTTGCTGACATTATCTTTTCCTGGGAAATCATAATAAACTTTAGTGATGTCAGCCAATCTATCACATCTGTATTCTCATTTTTCAGAAAAGTCAGATTTTCAAGAACCCATTGCATTATCTGTGTTGTTTCATTGTACGAATAAAAGTCACTTCTAATGTCTTGTATAACAAACTTCAAGCAATCTGTGCTCTTTAGCTGTTCTATTTTCAGCAGGTTAGCTAAGCGAATAGTAGCTTCATCACTGCTGTCAATTATTGGAATAGAAAATCTTAGACCAGGAGGAATTTTGGCAGTGTGGTGTAAGACCTTACTACCTTTTAGGCCAGTAAAAACAGGGACACTTTCATCAGATGATTTTTCAATTTTTTTAAATATTAGCAATTCCTGAATAATTCTTCTCTCTTTTTCGTTTGCATCAGTTAAACTAGCTAAGAATGCCCTAAGAGCATCTTTATGCGTTGACGGGAATGATGCAACCTGACTGCATAGTTTCTGTAAGGACATTTTTTCCATTATTTGTAAAACAGCACTTGGTAATGGTGGATGCACGTATTTTTTTATGAGTGGATGTTGGATAGAAATATCCAGCTTCTTAAGTACAACTCCACCAACCTTCTGAATAATATCAGCCAAGTATTCCGGGAGCTGAGTCTCAGATTCGTCTTCCAGAATGATAGGTGATGGGTTCCTAAATCTAACCAGTTCCACTAATGTTTGGTTTTCCTCCAGCAGTGTCTTGGGGATAAGCGGCATGTCATCAAACACACTCAAGTCATCAGAAAAATGTATATATAGGTTCTTCCAGACCATCTTAAGCCAGGAAACTGATGGGTGATTTTTGTCTTCCAAACCTGGATACCACTGTACCACCACGTCTCTGCCAGGCCACACGCTATTCATAACTTCTTTAATGAGCCGGGCAAATCTTTCTGGGTTCAGAAGCTGCAGCTGAGTGCACGGTCTTACTGAAATGATAGCAAAAGGGCAAAGCTATGAAAATCACAGAGCAGAGTTACATAACGAAGTGCTTTTGGTTGTTAGGGGGGGAAAGAAAAAATAAAAATTAAAAATCTAACTTGTGCCCTGCCTTTTCATTTTGTGGAAAAAAATGTTAAATAGAACTGCAGACGCCAGCTCCCCTTGCTTTTAGGAGTTAATTAAAAGAGACTACATTCCGTATTAGTATAAAAATAAAAACAAATTGAAAACAATCAATAAGTTATCTCATTTGTTAGTTTGACGCAAGAGTTCTCAGGCATACATAGCAGCTACGGATTTACAATCAAAGTAGAAGCTTCAAACAATTTTTTTTTGTTTGGTTGATTCTTTACACTACTTATTTGGCTAGCGGTAAATAAGAATCTAATCCATTATTTATTTGTCTATAATTACAAAGATTAAATTAGCTTTGAAAGATTATTTATTAGATATAGCAAAGCGCGGCTCAGGTGCAGATGATCTTACACTAAAACTGACAAAAAGCAAAACTCAGTTGTGCAAGGAGTGCTGAAACAAAGTTTAGATGTATATGCTTTTATTCTTATTATCAAAGCCCTCACTAAAAGAAATATATGTTAACACTCATGTCTTAATTATCATTAAGACAGCTTATACTTAAAAATTACAGAATGTCTGAGGGTAAGAAAATGGTACAGAATATAAAAATACCACTACTTCCCAACGACATCAAAAACATTGACAGAAATGGAAGCAAGGCATCTATTTGAATTTCAGATCTTTCTTCCATCTAGATAGCACTGCCATTTCCTTAAAAGCAACAGTCCAATTAAAGATACTATCTACTGTCCCTGCTCTGCTGGTAATCGGTAGTAAGGCATCCTTCAAAAAAAAATTTTTCCTTTCACTTCATGCTTACAGAACTATGCATTCTGTTAGTTCTATTGAACAGAAAACACAAGTAAACGCAGCAGCCTTGTGAAAGTGAGAAATACTGTCAGCAGTGAGCCAGCAAGATAAGAATCTACTTAAAAGCTAAGCTTAAATCCCACTGTTTGAACACAGACCTTTAGAAATACTGTTTTCAAATCTATACATGTGATCTTAAAATACTAGAAATCTTCCTGCATGGGAATTTATTAAAAAATATATAATACACCAATGAAAATATTGATCATTTCTGTGTAACATAACTACAAGGTTTTCTTCACCAATATGCATTTCCCCTCAACTGTATTTAGAACTCTTTTCATAATTATCTTTGGTAGCTATCTTTTGGCAGCTCTATTTGGCAAGTGTTGTTTACAAGAAAGCTGGGGTAATGAGAATAGCTAATCACCAAATTCACACAAATATCAAGCTTCAATCCAAACCAGTACATCTTCAGTTAATAACCATACCTGAAAATCCCCAGAGAAGTTGTTGGGCTAGAATATAATCAAATCCATTTTTAGAAAACAGCTTGTGGGTTACACATTGACACACTAAATATAGAAACAGTTATTAACTAGAAAAATACAGTACACATTTTAGGAGAGAAAAGTAATATCTGGTTGTCTTTGTACAACACAATAAAGAAAACTGCATCCCATTTTCTCAAAGAAGTAATACAAGAAAGTTTCTATTTCTGCAACTGTATCAGAATCTCTCTCTGATAAGAATTTTACTTACATAGCTGTAGAATTCTGACAAGGCAGGTTTTGAAACCTGCCAAAACCCCCTCTAATACTTATTATTTATAATAATGTACAACATTTATGGTACTGCAGTTGTACTTTACAATTATGCAAAATCTTAGAATAAAGAATAATTTAGGAGGAGGTAGAATGAAGAGAAAAGTAGGCACTACGATCTTGCAAAGGATTATCTAAGAGTCCTTAAGGATTTCTGAAAGATTTAAAAGAATTATACTTGTCATACTCATTTACAAAAATATATTCTTCTAATCAATGAGAGGCATACTATCAACCAAGAACAAGTCCCTAGAAAAATGTCATTCAAAGAAACTGCCGGAGAAAGAAAAAAGACAGAAGCAAGACCTTAAATGTGACCAAAAAAATCTTCCCAGGAACTAAAAAGACTAGACAGACTTTGTGGCAACTCAGAGACCAAGCCTGGAAGTGAAGGAATGTCCTAGAAGAACTCAGCAAGTGATTGCTTTGTGAAGTCAGACTTCATTTTAGTCACCTCTGCTTTTTCTGTTTAAGATGTATTCAAGCATATAGTCTGTCAAACCTGTATTTTGTTTTGGTTGTTTTGCTCTGTTTTTTAATTTAAGCATGGTTTTGGACTGCTTTGTGACATTCACTTGGAGGAAACTGTCTAAGACAACACATCTCAGAAGTCAAGTTAAGGTATCATCACAAGGAACTGGCATTCTTCAAAGCTAACATTCCTGTCTTCCATACAATTTTTCATCCATCTAATCTCACTGTGGCTGTCTTGATCCCTATATATTTCTGTTCTTTTAAAGTCCCAGCAATTACTACTAGAGTAAACAGTAGTTCTTTATGGTTCTATCCCAGATTAAGAATATTCACTGTTTGGATACACAATTTAAGTCGTCACTACTTTCAACAGTTTATAGTCTGTATTAAAACAAAACAAAATAAATTAAAAACAGTACTGGGGGAATTAACAGTAAAAACAATTAAAACAAGCATATTCTACTGCAACAATAGACACAACACTCATCATATAATATGCCCACAAGGCTTTGACAATTCTGCTTTTCAGAACAAAGTTTTGCTTTATAGTAGTTTCAGACTTGCTGTTCTTCATATCCAATGAAAGTCCCAACACTGATTTTGTATCTTCTATACAATTTATATTATTTTAAATATTTAAACTGTTTATTCTGTGCAATAAGTCACTCCCAATTCTTTCAATCTTTTCATAGATGCATTGCCATACTTCAAAAATTTATCATCTTAGCCTCAGAATTATCTTATTTTTCTATTATTTTTGATAATGAAGCAATGATCAAACCATGGAGAAATGAGTAGGTTTCCAACTGAACAGGAAGAATGATAAACAGATATTATATAAAGGATTGAAGAGGAAAAAAGGTCAGAACACAGACTGAAGAAATAGAGACTGTGACTGAATAACTGAAGACCATGATAAAGGGTATCAAAAAAAGCAAATCAAGACAGTAATTTATAGTATTCTATGTCTGGTTAAAATGTCTTCAGTCTAAAAAAGAATTCTAATAAATTGAGCAATTTAAAAAAGAGAGACAAGGATCTTTTTCTGAAAAGCACATTTTCTAGACATAGAAGAGTAAAATAGCTCACCATATACTCACACTATTTAAAAATAAGCTGAAGGACTTATTTGAAAATTGCGTTTACATGAAATGACTTCTGAGACTCAGACTTCAAATTTACCAATCAAATGCATAATGAAATGCAAGGGTGAAAAGGTAAATATAGACAAACTCCAAGTAGAAAAAGAGGCAAAAAAATTTAATTGTGAAGGCAGTTAAACATAAAAGCATCTTATCTACAGATGAAGCAAACTTCTTCACCAAGTCTTTGATTGGAAGTATTTCAATAGGTCCACACTGACACAACCATAAGCTATGAATTAAGACTCAGGGAACACTTGATGAAATTATATGGTCTACAGTATGGTTGAGGCTAGATGCTTAAGCTAGTTTCGTCTCGTTTTAAAAAAAGGCACTGATGTGATCACTTGCAATTGTGAGATAAGAGATGATCCACAATACCAAAACTATGACACAGCTATTGCATATGCAATATACTACAAACACAAAATAGTATTCAGACTGTCTTAAGTAGAGGAATACTGTTTGCACAAAATTACTGAACCTTGAATACATGCTTTACTGAGTGAATATCTATGCTTTTATTGTAAATTTTCATCCTTCTTCCCTTGCCTTTGCCTTTTTGTTCATTTATAATTTTCATTTGTGTGTGTCATTTCCAATTCAAACAAGATAGTCTATCATATCTTAATTTTTTTTTTTAGATAACCAACTTATTTATGTGAACTCCATTTCAAAAAAGACATTGCTTTAAACTTGGGTTTAGAACTAGTCTGTTCAACCATCAGCAATCTGTTTCACTATATGAGAATACAAAAGACATTACCTCGGCTTTTGGCAGCTTCTTTCAAAGCAGCTAGAACCTCAGGCTTCAGGTCATCAGAAAGTAACCTTCCTTCCAGGCCAGGAAAGAGTGATCTAAACATACCATAAAAAAACAAACAAACAAAAAAAAAAACCCCAAAACACACTTCAGCAAAGCATCTAATTCATTTATGTTGCTGCACAGAAATTACCAGCATGGTAATCATCATGGTAAGACAGTCACATGCAAAGCAATCGCTTACATATGAAGAACTGGGCTTTCAGCGGGCGTTTTCTTATAAATGAGAAAATCATACATTTAGAAGCAGAGAGTAGTAAAAACCCAATTTTTTCCAACTACTCTTGTTTTCAGAACAGATCTAAGCAAGTTTTCTCTTGATAGAAAAACTGGGATTAGACAATTGTCATCTATTTGTATTCTAACCAAAAAAAAAAAAAAACACCACGTAAAATCGCACCTACTATTCTATGTCTCTTGAAGATTCTATTTGAAAGCATACAAAAAATACAAGATGTAATTCTAGGACTTCACATAGATCTGTGGATTCCAGAAGATCTGCAGACAGTGGTTATGACTATTGTAGCCAAGAGTCAGTCTGATCCTGCCCTTCCCTCCCCTTCCTTTACGTTAGCTCTTAAAATCAAACAGTTTTTTAGGGCTTTGGTCTTCCTGAAATAAAAAATAACTATCCAGTTTAATTCTGACAGCAGGTATGTCAATTATACATAAACCAACACAGAATCTTTCTTGTTCTTCCACAGGTGTTAACAGAGAGAAATTCATAAGAGTTTATTTCAGCTTTTTAAGCAGGCTCCATATTTGAATACGCAAAGAGCCAAACTTAAGTTGAAAGTGTTTTAAAACATCTAGCATAAGTCATTTACCATATTTATAAGATCAAAATTAAAAATAATTACTGTAGGCAAGAATAAAGGCAAATAAAGCAATACTATTTCAAATTTCTGTATTATCATAGCTAGCAAGTAGATTTATGCCTCGTATAACATGCTTTTGTATCAGTTTTACAAGACTAACTAAAAAGATATGGTGGTATCATTAAGTTCCCAAAGAAGTATCTTATGACTAGTCTGAAGCAGGGCTGTAAGGAAGATTTGTTAGTCTCATCATAGGAATGTTTTCTGTATTAGTATACTGGCTTAACTTCTGGAAGGAGAAACAAAGTGAAAGAATAACAAAAGATAAATCATCTCACAACAGATGCTGGAGAAATTTTTTTTATTATTCTTTAAAAGAAGACACTAGAATCACAGGCTCTGACTAGTGTTAATCCCCTGATAAATAACCTGAATTGTCTAGAACAAGAAAGATCATGGGTTTAGAATATAATAGAAAAAGAACAGCAGCAGACTTGAAAAAAGCAAACTCCCCTCAAGCAACATGGGATGACCAGTTACCTGCATCCAACTGCTTTTCTTGAAGATGTGTTGTCTATAAATATATTCAAACCACAATTTACATAAGGACCTTACTTGAAGCACTTTTTACCTTAGTATCTATATTGGCACGCTCCAACCCACTTCTACTTCCCATATAAATGGTTCATAGGGCACTAAAAGCAGCAAAGCAAATGTTAAATGTCACATTCTCTCAAGCTGAGGATCTGAAAATTAGTGGAACTCTGAGGGAAAGGAGAAGGAGGGGTGGTTGTGAACATACGTACAGGTAACACTTCGTAAGGAGGAACAGCTACAGGTAAGACATCTGGTGTGTCTGAGTGACTTCAGGCAGTACCTTAAGAGATTACTTGGAGAAGGGTCCAGATTTAACACATCTTTTATACATGCATAATCCAGTACAGACATAAAAAGCAGTAGTCATGCTTTCCCCCCAGTGATCCCAAGGGCAATTATTCCAGCTAGCCTGCTTTCCTATCCCCTCCCCAGGAACAGTGCCAGCTTTTTTGGCAGATGAAATGTGAACCAAATTGGAACATTGATGGAGCTGGGAAATAAGCAGGGGAAAAAATTAATTGGAGAGGGACTGGAAAGATCAAAGGGAGAACAGATGTAGAAGACAAACCCACTACTTTCCATGGTAGTATCTGCTTACTTCCTGAAACCAGTAAGTGGTTAGTACTAAGCCGTTCACTGAAAGTAAGAGTGTTCTGTTACAAAAAAAAAAAAAGCATGAAGTAACCTCAAGCTTTAAGTTTAAAAAAAAATGCTTTTATCATTACCTAATTTAATGTACTTCCTAGTATGCATGTTTCTAACCTCCTCTTATATATAATTCTCAGAAGAAAGCTAATTTGAAATATATCCTGAGGCATTCCCCTAAAGCCTAGATCACATGATTCTTTTTATAAAGTTATAATGGCAAGTAGCTGTCAAACTTTTCAAATGAGACATATGCACACAAACATGTACATGTATACAGAAAACTGGCTTCTATCTATACATTATTTCATTACATTACAGGCTGCTGCATATCATCTTGTTTGCTGATAAGCAAATAACAGTCTGAAGCTCTGCTTTAAAACTTAAACTAAAAAAAAGAAAAAAAAAACAGTATTTAAAATATTAAGTATACCTGGGATATTCTTCTGAGGTTATGTAAACTACATCTTGTTCTGACACAGATGAGGAAAAAGGAGTAAAATTTCCATTCTGTAATGGCAAAAGCTCCAAACCAATCAGTTCACTGTAGACTCCATCAGAAAGCACAAATTCTAGAAGATGAAGCTTTTCTTCAGCAGGTCCACTGTGTCCATATTTCCTTAGTACTTGCCGTACTACAGCAGGAGTCACTTTTTTCACAGCTTTAGCAGTAGAAATAGTAAGATACACTGCACTAGCAATATTTGCTGGTACCTTGGCAATCTGCTTCCCTGAATTCTGGAGGTAGTTGAGAACAGACTGTGTGTACTCCAAACTCTCATCCATTTCAGAAAAGTGCACCTGTTCCACCTTTATCCACTGATTACTCACTGAGTAAATAACTGTATGCTGGAGCAGCTCTTTAAAGAGAGGTACTACAATTGGTTTCCAGGGTACCCTGATTTTGTTCTCATCAGGCCATAACCTATAAATTCTTTCAGCTGACAATGGAAAATCCGAATTCTTCTCAGTCTCCATTCGTTTGATAGCTTCCAAAATAAGGGTGGTATATGCCTTTGGCACTATATTTACCACAAGAATATCATTCCACAAAGCTGCTGGATCTCTCCATTGATCCAGCTCTCGCCATTTGATACTCCTCCTATTGTCTGTGAGACCAAAGAAACCACTAACATGAACTGGGAGTCCAGTTTTGCTTTCTTCACCTGGAGGCAAAGGCAGAAAACAAAATGCTCTTCCTGAAAAATCTGCTACAGCTCCTTTTTCCTCCCCATTAGTTGGTAAAGACATAGCTATTCCAATAGTAGGAACAAATTTCAAGTCATCAGCTAAACAATCCAGTTCAGTACACATTCCTCGACCACCTACACAATTGCATACTAACCAAGATGTTTTCTGTGCGTCCTTAACACTCTCATCCTCTACAACTATATTTACATGGTATGTCACACATGTTATGCTATTGCTTGGAACTCCCTTACAATACTGATTTATTGCAGTTCCTAAGATTTTGATAGAATTGGGTCTTTCATGTTTCAAGGCCTTGTTCTCACTAGCAGTTACTCTAAAAATCAGTCTCTCGGTTCCATCAGCTTCCCTAACATGCAATGAAACATCCTGAACACTCTTCAAGAAGAGCAATACTGTGTCTGCATCTGCTCTGAAGGATTCAAACAGCTCCAAAACCTTCTGTTTGTCGTAAACATTGCTGCTCAGTTGGGAAGGCTGCAGGCGAAGTGGGAAACGAAAAAACGTACCAGGAAAGTTTCCATTCTTAAAGGTTTCCTTAGTGCTGCCAAATACACCAATGAATGGTGCAAACTGGTCTGTAAGTTCATTGATTTCTTTGCTATCTTCTTTTAGATTCCAACACTGGCCTGATTCATGAGGTCCAAAAAGGGTTTGATGGGGATCAAGCATTCCAATCTGGTCACCACTGAAAATACTAGGGACATCTGTATACATAAAAAACAACAACTATTAATAATCCTAACACAACATACTTTTCAAATACAGTCTTAAGGAACAAATTTAAAAAGGGCAAGAAAAACAAATGTTATAAAACTGCAATGAACCTAGTATAATTCTGATAACATATAATTCAGTACTTATTGAAAGGAAGAAACATGCACACCCCTATTCTGCAATTAAATACATAAATAGTCATTCAACTATTTGAATTTTAGCAAACAGTGAGCAACAAAAAGTATAATTTTTTTCAGCTCTATACTTTTATCTTTCCAATATTTTCAGAAAAAAAACAATTTCATTTACTAAAGATGTATTCCATTACATTCATACTTTGTAGATCTTGAAGGCTTGCAAACAGTAATCTTGTACATTTAAAAGCACAACTTCCCAGAATTATCAAACCACTGAATGTACTAAGCAAGCTTTTATTCATGCTCTACTAGGTAAAATATTTGGAAAAAAAACATCCTGTGTCTTACAAGTTCACTTCACAAGTTAAAAATGTTATTTCAGCAAAAATCTGCCTCTTATCCTGTACTATTATAACTACTATGTAGACTGTAAGCACTATTTACGCTATATGCTTAGAATCATAGAAACATTTAGGTTGGAAAGGACCTTTAAGATCATCGAGTCCAACCATTAACCTAGCACTGTCAAGTCCACCACTGAACCATGTCCCTAAGCACCTCATCTACACGTCTTTTAAATACCTCCAGGGATGGTGACTTCACCCCTTCCCTGGGCAGCCTGTTCCAATGCTTGACAACCCTTTCAGTAAGACATTTTTCTTCATGTCCAATCTAAACCTCCCCTGGTGCAACTTGAGGCCATTTCCTCTCGTCCTATCGCTAGTTACTTGGGAGAAGGGACTGACACCCACCTCGCTACAACCTCGCTAGTTGTAGAGCATGATAAGGTCTGCAAAGTTACTGAGGGTGCACTCTATCCCCTCGTCCAGATCATTGATAAAGATATTAAACAGAACTGGCCCCAGTACTGAGTCCTGGGGAACACCACTTGTGACCGGCTGCCAACTGGATTTAACTCCATTCACCACAACTCTTTGGGCTCGGCCATCCAGCCAGTTTTTTTACCCAGCGAAGCATATGCCTGTCCAAGCCATGAGCAGCCAGTTTCTCCAGGAGAATGCTGTGGGAAATGGTGTCAAAGGCTTTACTGAAGTC